GCGAAAGACTCACCTAGAACCTAGCTGAATCTCTCGTTTATGATGTTTCTAAGCAACGGAGTGTGCCCAAACAAGCCGTCTGATGTTTTGGTGCGATCTTCGAGATATGGCGATACATGTCTAGACGGAATATACTACTCTTAAGGTTGCTGAAAATTCTTCGACAGACCACGATCGGTTTCCGCCTTCTTGGAACTCACCTGGCTAGCGCAGTCTTTGAGTTCCCGTCAACGTTATGTTCTACCTGAACCCAAATAGGGCTGTTTTCGAGAAATGCACTCAGTCGCAAGCAATTTTGGTTTTACGAGAGACTCACCAGGAACACTGCTGAATCTCTCGTTTATGATGTATCAAAGCTAATGTGTGATGTGAAATTCTACGGCATTGTTAGGGTTGAAGGGGTTTTTCTAAAGAAACGCCGACATTCTATAGGGGGAATTTCACCCACCATTTTTCTAGATAACCAGAACTGGAAGTATCTTCACGCTACTGTTATAAACCAGCTTTTAGTGTACCACCAAAATTTCAGAAATTTTTGGATGACTAACACAGGCAAGCATCGTGTAAGTAACAAATTCCGCATGAGGCCAAAGCACTTGCCGGATATTTGAACTATGTGCTCAGGCTGCCTAACATTTCATGTCTACCAAATTTTTCAATAACATTTTTGTCATGTAAACTAAACTGGTGTATTTCTGAAGCAATTTTCTTAACTGTAGGAAATACAGATGACAATAAACGCTTTGGTTGCTCATTAATTTTTCTGCTTTGCAGCCAGCGGTCAACGCATTCAACGAGCTGATCACAATCGTTTATAGGAAACCAGTACATTCTAATCATTGCTTGGTTTCACACCACAACACATCCAGAGTGTTTGAAATGCCTCACAGTTGAAGATTCTCAGAAAGAATTACACTAACAAGCCAATGGCGGAACAGCCATCTTTTCTTGAAAAATGTGATAGGAATTGCAATTTTTATGGAACAAGGTGGACCTAAAATATTCCGATTCTAATCAATCCATCTCGTCGACCCTTCAATTGCCGTCGAAAAATGTGTCAAATGTTGTAGCTTGTATCTCGTATTCCGAAGGAGAATAACTTGACGAAGCACCACTCCTTTTGTCTACAAATTAGAGTAGAAATCAAGAAACACAAAGAGAAATTCTTGGCGACACAATAGAGTGACCGACAACTCCGAAGACTATAGCGACAGAATTAATGGGCCATTTCATAGAAAGACTGTGTGAATTTTCGGATATATCGCGTGGTTCAGTTTGGTTATATGTCACCGCACACAAGCGTTTTCCAGCCAAAAAAGTGACCGTGGCACAAAAAATACGTCAAGCAGTCGGAGAAAAATACATTCAAGACAGACTGCGCAACAACATTTATATTTCGTTCTAACCAAATTGGTTCAGTCAAATGGTTTGGAGAGAATAAACGTCATATGACGTCAACATTAGGACCCAGATGACGAGCGAACCAGGCAACTAGCTGAGGTTCTGCAAAATTACGTCATCTTTATATTGATTTTACGTCAACAACTCTTAGCAAAGAAAGATACATTCAAATGCGCATTCAAGGATGCCGCCTAATCAGAAATGCGCCTAAAGAGGATGTGCTGACGGTCGAACAATTCTACCAACATCATTAGAATTCAAGATTGCGTGGTCCTGTGATCAGTACAGCTTAATGGGATCATAGTTTCATCGCTTAAAAAATCGCCATCATCATAACCATTCATCTCACCACCACAAACAGTTTCACCCAGAAGTTTTGTTCAACCAATTGTTTGTCGTTTATTATAGTCAGGAGCTGAACATCAAGAAAACAGAGGATCGAGCTGATAGAAGTAAGATTAGCTTTCGTTCAGAAATCAGCAAAATGTCACAAACAATATTAACGCACTATGGGAATTAGTTCGACCACAAGACCGGGTTTCAAATTGGCGGTCAGCGGAATCGAAAGTCACGCTTCCGAAATGTGGCTCCAGCTAGCAAGAGAACTCTAAAAACTTGATGTTTCCAGGCGTTTGCAAGTCCAACGAATGATGAAATTTCGTCACTTGGAAATGTCTGCTTACGAGATCCGAATGTGTTACTATCACCCGCATCACGTCCCTTTCAGGTCCTTCAGGAAAGACGCCTACGATGATTTGGACATAGAGCATGTAAAACTATGCCAAAATTTCTAAACCACAAGCCACGTCAGACGTGACATTTTCGTCTTGGCCTACTACGATCAGCGAAGATCTGCAGTAACCTATTCCAACGTTGCCTATGAAGCAGTTTCCTGAAACGAGCACTGGGTGAAGGGTTTCACAGATCTCGAGGAAGATAACGAACGGCTGATGGCTTCAGTCTAGGACTTTTATGACGCCCACTTCATCTTAACTCTTCTGTTAATCGCTTAAAAGGACTAGCGCTAGTATGCACCCCACTGGAAACCGACCCAGCAGCATTCCTTGCAGTATTTCTGTAACCAAGACAAATGATGACGCAAAAAACAACGAAAACAATTGTGTCTAAGGCCGCAAAACACGTAATCTTCCGAAAGACAAGTGATGAAAAGTTTCGGACTGTACTGGCCATATATGTCGTTAAACTCCTTCGGAGATGTTCTGGTCGGAAAATTCGTTTTCCTTAGCCAACTAATCATGCCAATACCTCCAATGTTCTTGACTACATCTAGCGTTTTCGATTACCGAAACTATAGCAGCTAAAATCTACACACATTTGTTACATGGTTTAGAACAGATAAAATAAACTGAACAGTATAAGACAGCTGTCCCAAATAATAGAGATGGATGTGGTGGCATAGTGCACCTGCTGATTAATTACTAAAGTTCAGTCAACTGTAACAGCCAACATCCTTCTTTTACATGAATAGCCTCTATTCACTCATCTTAGTGATACCTCCATAACTTGGTGTTCATCAGCGTCGGGTGATTAATTTAAGAAGGAAACTGGCCCTTCGTGTTCTTTGTATAAAAATTCGAGCCCAAATGTACTGCTAATCACTTCAATTCAGTTTATTAGCGAAAAACTATGCATCACTTGTGTGTTTATTCTACCTGATACAGTTTTGATCGCTGGGAGCTGGAGAACATGGGAGATGTAGCCAAGAATTAGTGGCCGTGACATGATGAATAAATTTGTATTGTCTATTGCTCCGAGGGAGCGGGAAACTGAGCAGCTACACATTGAAGACGACAGCTTTAAAGCGTCACTGACTGCGTGATTCAATCAAGTCTTTCATCGATGTGTTAAGTCTCCGTGTTCCCATTCACAAAGGTGGTGGTTGCCCTCCCGACTGAATTTACCATTTAGTGTTTTCATATCTATTGGTCAGATCAAAAACTGTCCGCCCGTGTCCCCTGCACTCAGCATATAGTTGGACAAAAATAGATCTGCAAAACCCACGTCCTCCTGCATACTAAGTGCACGTCCTAAACGACGTAACCTATGAAACGTGAGCGTTCATCCATCGTGAAGGAGTTCCATTTCTGTGAAAGCTGGCGCATCTTAGTATTGTTAGCCGAATGCTTTGGATATATTAGTGGATAGGCATTGACAGATTGTCTAGAATCTCCTCATGAACAGGCCAAATTTTCTATCCACGACATACCATGGATCGCACTCTGCTGTTAACACATCCTCATATCTTCCTGGCTTCACTAATATCGGATGTCCTGGTCTTATAGATTCTAGTCTTCAGCGTATCCAGTGGAATATATACAGCTATTCAGTTGGTTGTATACCATATGGATCGGCTGGTCAGAACGTACTAGGCAAGGATCAAATCTCTTGCCGTCTTACAGTAGCACTTTACATTTTGTAGATCTGACGCGTATACGAAACCACGCGCCGGTATTATTTAGGTTATTTATAAAGCATTGAATCGTTGAAGGATACAAACCACGCAATACCTTGAATATTCTTTGTACCTCATGGAGCTTTCCAGGAGAAGTTTAACTCCGAAGTTTCACAGGCAGGTACATAAGTTCCAGGCGGCACGTCGATAACAGGATCGGAGAAGAATGGCTAGGAAGGGCAGCCTTGTCTTGCACCACTGGACATGGTGAAGTCAGAAAAACGCCTGCTGTATTCCCCTATGTGCCCACAAAACTTCGCACACAGTGGTAAGTGGTACAAATTTCAAAGTGACTCTGCCATAAACCACCATCAACTGACGGAGTTCAAAGGAAAACGGGTCAATATGGATTCTGCATGACGGCATTGCGCCTATTTTGGAAGCTGACAGCATTTTGGAGGCACTCCATTCCACTGTCAGTCTGTTCTTGTCCAACATCTTTCGTAGTACGGTTGTCTGAGTGTTCCTAACATATTGTCCAACCACAGACAGCCACCTTATCCGTTTCACCCCACAGAAATTCCTGGGACAGGGAACGCCGGAAGATTTTCTGCAAGGCAGTTTCCTTCCGCAGCGAGAAGTCGAAGTAGTTTCCGGTTTGTCAACCAACTGATTTAGACCGTGAAAGGATAATAGATTATGGAGTCGCTCTACTCCATTAACTCGTGTTTAGCTACCGGCTTTTGAAAGCACAGCTTGTGTACTAGCTATTCAGCATTAATTGGCTTTTCTCAACTGTCTGGTCTGATAAATGAAGCCGGAGTGTGCGCTCAACACAGCTGCACTACGGATTACAGGTAGGCAAGCTGAACTATGGAGTGAAGCAACGCATGATAGCCGGATATTTATTGCCCCTGAAAGACAGATGACCGCACCTCACGAGCAGTGGACCAGTCAGTGCCTGGCATTCACGTTCGAAACCATAGTCAAACAACTCTCAATGTACCGATACTACCACCCAGCCATCTTCGAAAAGGCTGCTTAATAAACGATGTTTGCACCACAGCTGTTACCACATCTTCTGCAGAAGTATATCGTCGGAAGCCGCCGCACCATAACAATGGTCTCCTATAAAAGACACTTCACACTTAGGAAGTTCGTGCTAGCCAAAAGATATGACAGTTATAAATATCATTATTGGGCAGAAATAGGTAAACTACAAAGGAGCAAGTAAAAAAACAAAGTATCCTGGTGACAAACAATAGATAAGGGATGAGAGGTAGAAACTAAAGGAAATCAATAAATCAAGGTTTAGGATAAAAAGTGACCGAGAAGAAAAATAGATGCGATAAAATCCTCGTAGCAGTTGTAAGATCACAGCTTCACTGGTGTCTTGAAAAGGTTCTGTGTAAAGACAGATACGTTTGAGTTAGAAAAATACAAGTGACAGCATTTCACTCAGTTATGAATATTCAAAGACGGCATAATCTGCGTCCATGTGAACGTATTTGTTGGAGCTTTGAGTTGCTGATGAACGACTCCTCTGAAAGGCATTCATTCTGGTTTTGTTGGATTGAGACCACTCTGCTTCAAAGCGTCATATATCGCATGATACACTCCAGGATCTTCGATGGTTGGAGGCACCTTGAACAAAAGGAAAAACAGGAATTCCATATGGCTTGTGAATAGCTCTGTCCCATACACATCAAATCAAACTGATTTAGAAAACCATGAAGAGCTAATTACCAATCGCGTAGTAAGGTACTAAGGATAGCACAGCCAGTCTACTTTGGACACAGTGAGAGGTTCACGCGTGTGGCTGAGACTCAAATGGATGGATCTCACGGTGACAGAATGCAGGCCTAACTATGCTCATAAAGAACCGAGGCGAAGACTACATTAATTGTAAATAGCTGCTCATAAAAATAGTTCTGATATCATACCTGTTGTTTTTTTTGTCTCCTTACAATAAACTTGGTAACGCCATCATACCACGTTACCGTGTTGAAGTTCCGAACAGAGGCCACTGGCACACAAATGGACATTCCGTTTTACCAAAACAACGCAAATGACAATCAAACCTGGACAAATTCTCAGCCACGATTGGAACTGCTCAGGCAAGGCGTTGAGAAACGTGCACCAGAAGCTCCCGGATTCGCTTCAGTGGGTACAGCTAGAGTGGTATTATTTTCATGGATAAATTCAACCAACCAGAAGGAAGTTAAAAAGGAATACTATTAGGGCGCATAAAATTTGATGAAAAAAGTGGAACTGTCCTGATTGGGTTCGAACCGAGGAACTTCAAGCAGGAGCTCTCATCCCCCCCCCCCAAACTCACCTGTCAATCGCTATAGAATATCGGAGGCTCTGAAGCGCCCAAGAATCGCACGCTTTGGTCTACCTTTGGACACCGATAAATGATGTGAACATATGTGATAAATTACCCTTCAATCCAAGCAAACGTAATTACTAACTGACCTGTGAGCTTTGTCCCGTGATTTGTCCCTCCTCTCATATAATTTGATCGCAATCATTCAGAACCTATACCGTTCAATTAGAGTTAGTTCATTTACGAGTGGGGGAAAATTGGGCTTCCCTAATGCATATGATGCGCTACGAATTATCCGCCCCAAGACCCGCTAAATTTCACAACGATTTTGGGGCTCACGAGGAATGGACCTGGCTTTGCAAATAAAATACTCACTTTGATTGGCTTCCCAGACGCCATATTTGCTAGACTTGGTCTGGCAATTTTTCCCGATCGGGTTTTTGGCAGGGCGGGCACAACACAGGCCTGCGAGAACGATGCAACCGGCCCTACATTTTCTCGCACGGAAGCTATCGAGTCCCGAATAACTTGCTCAGCCGTTTTTTTGCATTCCTTTTTAGTCACAAGCAGACCAAAGGGTACATAACCTGAAGCAGAAAAGAGTGTAGCGGTAAAGCGTTAACTCTACACGAGTTTTGGTCGTATAGTGTTCAGTGAAAATACCGAAAGTCCAGTTGCACAAACTTTTGGTGAGCGGCCAAATGAAGTTACGGAAATGGGGCTAAAAGAATCAGTGTGAGGGAGCAATATGATTATTAGATGTCTACAATGTATAAGCCTATAATACGTTGCCTGGACAAGCTGCTTAAAAAGTACGAATTAGGAGGATGAGCTTACCGAGCAGCTTCACAATGATAGTTGAGGTTCAATTGTCGCGGAACCGAAAAATTACTCAAATCATCCCTCACTCGCAAAAATGGAGTTCTCGTTTGAACCGGCACATAACATTTTGGGCGAGTGCTACAATGGAAACGCTTCACCCAGCCGCGTACTGACAGTGTCTTCAGGTCTGACGACGAAACATTTGCAAGCCAATAACCTAACTAGCTGAACAGATCAACTGCCACCTTAATACTAGCTGATAATAACCATAACAGTGTCAGGATAACTGACAAGCTTGTTTACACACCCCTCAATATTCGTAATGCCACCAAGGAAGCAATTAAGGACCAGATAGTATTTGACTATAGTATCAGTATAAGATTAGTCAATTTATTATATCCGTCTATGTGATGAGAAGTATCATGATGCGATAATTGCGATGACGACGGACTGAAAGAGAGAGATGGGCATTCTCATCGGCTGCCCAATCACGGTGTTATAATATCAGTAAGTGCCGAAATAACCAAAGACGTTGAAGTGATACCACTGGGACTAAAATATGCTTGAGCTTTGCCCTATTCAACCTTTTCAGAACATGCAAAACATGATCACCACTGGATGGTAGCATGTGCGAGTCACATCATGTATTATCCAGCATACTGTGACGTAAACTTTCATCCAGCTGTGGGGTGTTGTGACGATTACTTCATGGCCTGGTCATCAGATAACGTGGAGAAATCCGACAGCAGTACTCTGGTTCAAACCGTGATTCAAAATCAATATTGTGAGATGACCGATCAGATCAGTTATCACCTGATCAGCAGCCAATAAACTCACCCGAGCCGCCAAAATTGAGATACATTGCCAGCAAAGACAACAGGTGAGTAGGTTTTCTTCCATGCATTGATCTTACTGGATTAAACCGTCTCCTTTCGGATTATACGAAATGTCTCCACAGATTAGTTAAAGACATTTCAAAAGAGAAGTGCTCTTCCGCAACATGTAGGTAATCAACCTAAACCAGTCGGTATCCAAGCGCTTAGATAGACAACATGCTAAATCACAGGTTAAAAGGATGTGTAAGGGGGCTGAAGGCAGAGTGGTGGGTTGGACTGTTCCCAGGTTAAATCAATAACCAAAGTTACTTGGGTTGATCGACTACGCTCATAGTGTCGCCTAAGCTGTGAACGCAAAAATAAATACTGTGTAAGTCGGTGCATCAAGCGGGTTTGAATGAACAATCCAAAACTGTGGACTACGACTGCCAGTCTCCCACCAACCTCGTGAATAACGATGAGTACTCTGGGATAATAAATTGTTATCCATGTCCCAGTATAAACAGTTTTCCCATCTCCCCTTGCCCGTCAAGAATGCACTTGTTCAAACATGGAGTGGCGAATGAGTAGGCACATAGAGGTAGCCTAACGAACTACTTAGTCTTCCGGTTGTCGTGTTTAACATGCCAGCAACTAACGGAAAGGGGCCTATAAACAGACCACACAAAATCGTACAGCAATCGTAGGTAAACTGGTTTTCTCGGCGCCCCCTGCATTTTTTATTCTACGACTAGCTGCAGTGACATGTTTTGGCTCTGACTTCCAAGAAAAGCAAGGGTAAAGGAGAGGTTGCAAGGCTGGGAAAGGGCTACGTTTCTTCCGGGCCACCGTTTCATAGGCCAAATGCTGGTAGGCGTGGAGAACCAAATGCACTTCCGAAAAGCGAGATTGGCATGCGCAGTAGAAAGCGCAGTTATATTAATCCGGCAGCTTTTACTAAGTATGATTAAAAATCAGGCCACCATCCGTCAACCGACATCTACGGTACCATAATTTGAACTTCATTTAAGAAACGATTGCTGGCTCGATGATTCCGAAAATCGCTAAAATAACTCGAGAAAAACCTTTTAATGAGAAGCGTCTATGAATCGCCCACTGCTTTCGATTACCCACACTTGGATGAAGGAAAGTAGTGCTCAATGAATTGACGTCTGTCGTGAAGTACGTATGCTGAATTAGTCTGCACATTTGATTGTGTCTTATCAAAATAGACGCTGTTTCCTTCTCTGATTACCCACACTTGGATGAAGAAAAGTAGTACTCAATGAATTGACGTCTGTCGTGAACTACGTATGCTGAATTAATCTGCACATTTGATTGCATCTTATCAAAATAGACGCTGTTTCCTTCTCGAACGAGGAGCAACGAGAACTAATAAAACACGAGGTCGAAAATCAAATTGATTTGATGAAGCGAACCCATTTTACCCATTTAACAGTTCCGATGGTGGCAATCATGGCACTATCGCCCGAACAGTCCTCCTTTCCGCATGGCCGAAGACCGTTTGCTTCTCAAAGCTCTTTTTGCCCAGCCCTGTGCTGATTGGAAGCGACCTTGAGGTGAACAGTGTATGACCTGGCAACAAAGTACAAAAACACTAACCAGTAAACTTAGTCAGGTCGGCTACCGCCGCCTCCCTGGATAGGGGCCCTGTGACTCAACTCACCAATGGCTAATGACGTTGGCAGAAATGGCCCAGTCGCGTAGTCATTGGCGCTTGCGCATCGAAGCTATCGCCTTAAATATGTAGCTACCCAATTTGCGAACAAACTGAACATCCCGTCACCTCCAAGACTTGGCTTTATACCCCACACTCCCGTATTCCGGTGATCTAAACTGTAGCAACTGGAACCAATATGCCACGGTTTATGGCTGATGCACTGAAATGACTGATTCTGTATAGCCCACGCATGAGCGAGAATATATTGAAATTTCATTTTCGATACTATTGGATCCCGAAAGCGGTTTGTATCCTTAGGTGGACGCCCAAAATCCGAGGCAAGTGCTTTGTCTCTGCTCTGCAAGATGAAGCCAGACAAATCTAGATTATCAAGTCTGAACATGCGAACAGGTCCGTGAGTGAGCGATGAACCCAAACTTGTAGCCCTCCAGGTTGTTTTTCTAGACTGAACAGCCTGTCAAGAACTCTTCGCCAGGTGAATACACTAAGACTTACAACCTGAACAATTTCTAATCATTTATAGTTAGTACCGGAAATCGGAGTTTCCGTTTGAAAAGTTACCCTCCTGTCGTGGCCCTGCTCCTTGACGTCTCCCGTAACATTTTCCACTTAAGGCTGATCTGATAAAATGACATTAGCTTGATGAAACCAAATAGGTCAGACACCTTCAGAGAGCGTAATAGTGTGGCCCAAAAAAGTCATGGTCTTGGTACAAATTCGTGATTTTAGGGATTCTTGTTTCTAAGGCCAAGTTAGAAATTACTTAGCAGAAATAGTGTTTAAATTCAAGGCCATGGTAAATAAATAAACAAATAGATAAGTAAAAAGAAACTAAATGTTTATGGTGGCTTTCGCGAATAAAAGCTGCACCTTGTGCAAGCAAAACAACCGTTTCCGTTTCAGCTAAATCAAAGCAAAATTTCACAGTTGTCCACTTCTTGATATGCCATTGAAAGTGGCTTATGTTGAGACAGGTGCTAGTCTCGTCTGTATTGACGCCTAATATGACAATGCTATGCTTGCTTCCTCTCTGATTGTGAAAGGTTCATGAGGTTGGCTTTACCCGCGGGGAAAGAAGAAAGGAAAACTGATATCCTCTACTTTGTAATTGCTATGATGTCGCTGAGGAATATGCAACAAATGGCAAAATAGACTCATAACTTTGCTAAAGCATCTGTCGCTTCACAAAACGCTTTTACATGTTCGAGTTTTTGGAGTGTGTGACGAAAACGTTGCAGTATGTGCTTTCGGAATCCGTTAAATTTCTTTAGATCAGAATCCGGTTAGGAACCTCTCAGGCTTCAAAAGCCAACTTTTTCATTTTTCAAGTGTTACCAAAAGCGTTGAATTTTATCCAGAAGGACATAAAATGATAGCATCGGCTTAACAAAGATTTTGCCGCTTCACTGATCATCTAACCTACTTGTTTGTTACCGGAAGTCCATACGTGGTCGCACTTCACTTGACATTCACATCAAGCTGATAATGACGGAAACCCAGGAAGGAACATGCCTGAAAACTAATGAAGGGTTCACTGTTCTAAATGGTGATGGAGCCGAATGGTATGCGTTGCTATTTTCTGTGTTGTCCGTTTTTGATCACCTACAAAAAAAACAACATTTACCGGACTAGTCGAAATTCCAATAATCGCAGCGCATATATACTCGATTTATTGGTAGGCCAGAACAAGCGAGTGACACTTCCGTTGTTCTTCGACATGTGCGAAGCACGTGACAGGTGCATCTGACCGCGAGCATATACTTCCTGAAGTCAATGTTACCAGTCAGGATAATCCTTCTGATGGCGATGGGTTTTTCGAAATCCGAATCGGCATCAGCCGCCTTCATCAAGCCACCTGAGAATGTCGGGGAACTGTTGTACAAGCCCATGGAGCTATTACTCAGCAATTTGCCTCGTGCGAGGAGACTTTCCCATGTGTAAGAATTGTTCAGTGTACCGTTTTGCCAAACCCCGTACACCTGAGTCAAGAACACACTTTAAATCCGAAATCGTAGTTCTTGGTTTGGGTATGCCTTGAATAAAGGGGTTCAACTCCACAACTGGCTGATGGCGAGAAGCAGTTAGTAGTGCGTTTTTCACACAAGCCGTACGTTAGTGGTTCCCAGTCCACTGCCGGAGAGTATTATTGACCATGTCTGTCGTCAAACTCATAATTTAATTATCATCACATGTTTAGCCAATGCTATAGAACGATCTGGAACTGTTCAGATATCAACGAACCCAGTTCTACACCGACACATCTGAGAAAAAAACCAGGGTTCCGAAACTTTCAACAGTGGATTCATTGCTCTAATGATCATATACCTCATCAAAGTTGTTCGCCGAATTCTGTGCACTGCATTTGGCATATAACTGACGGCCATGAAAGAAATGGTTTTCTTCAATCCATAGCAACTTAAAGGACTTTGTCAGAGAATATAAGACTAATGCCCGTGCTGCGACTTAGAACGGAATCATAGCCGAATAGTTCAGTCCCTTTGTTGATGCCAAATTTTAATTTACGTTTGTTGTGATCGAGAGATACTAATTAATCAGTAATCATGGATTTACCACTGTTTGTGTTCTTTTTCATGGGGTTAAGCCAATCACTAAGTTACTCGTATTGCATGCCTTCCTGTGCATAATGGCTTACTACTTTGTGCGCTCTGATTTGTATACTTCAGAAATCCATGGCTTCATGGTTCAAGACCAGCGCCAATGGGGAGCAAAATAAGTACGCAATTGATGATGATGTAGAAAAACCTCCCTCTAGACCTGTCTGCATAAATATGATCTAGTAGAATAAAAGCCAGTCACAAGCAGACCGATGTCTGTCTGAGTCAAACAAAAATATACTGCAAATGTAGTCAGTCACTTATACACTCAGTTGTATACCAATTTGGGTTTCACAGGAGGATCAACTGGAACCCAGTTGAATTTCTTGTTTATAATGTTCTCGATATAATACCTCGAATATCGTACCAACAGAAAAATAAGGCGGCCTGGTGCAGCACATTCACCTGCCTAAGAACGTCCTAAACGAGGGATTCAACTGGGCTCCAAGTGAGTCTGCCATCCAAATCAAACTGGTATGCTGATGAGTGTGTAAATCGAACTACATCCATTTTGGGTTCAAGCGGAACATAACGTTGACAGAAACTCGGGCGCTGCGCCTACCTGATGAACCTTAAGAAAATCGAAACCGGTCTTGGGCTGTCGAAGAGTTTGGGCAGTCTTATGAGTAATGTATCAGGTCTATACGAAGTTCATAGACATTCAGCGTGCTACATCGTGCAGGATCGTTTCATCCTATCTACCCAAATGTTTCTATGCGTAAAAAACTCACCTTTAATTTGATGCGGTACGGGTATCACGGCACAGTCTATCACGTTCTCATCTCTGTAGCACGCTTCCTCAATTGCACTTGTGCTCAAACGATGACCAGCCACGTTAATCACGTCATCAGCACGGGAGAGAATGTATACAAATCCATCCTTATCGATCGTGCCCACATCCATTGTGTCGTAGTAGCCCTGAAAATTGAATACATACGCAAATCAGTATATTCGGATGTTGCTGACCTTAATGTAGTGGTTCTGAATAATGAAAATCAAGATCTTTCCAAAGAATTCATCATAAATTTGGAATAATCCGCCCTTTTCTTAGCTTCTTTTGGGCCATAAGTGACGAGGAACGCTGCCACAACCTGCTTTTTGTTGAATTCATTGCTTTACCTTATCATGAACTTAGATATACATAATAAGAACATGGGAATAGTTGGATCACGTGAGTGAACCTCCCTTAATCTGCGTTGATGAATATATACAAACGTAATAAGCTGTGTTATGCTTAAGTGACGAACAGAGAGTGTCTAGTGGTATAGAGATTTCAGACCGCCTCTCAAATGACAAATCATAAGGTGTTCTTAATATCCGAAAGCAAACTGCACCAAGAAAGTCTATGAGTAATGTCCAGGATATGGAGGAAATCTACGCACACGTATTTCCTAAATTCAATCTGTAAACACACTTGGTAACTTGATAACATAGAGGCATTTTGTGATACTTCTTGGCATGAAGAAAGTTAGTCAATCGGGTATTTCACTGGTATGGATTTTCTCTTTTCAAACAATTACTCTCCTATGTTAGAGAGGAGTGGATGTCAATAGCTTGTCGACTGTTTAATTCATAGAGGAGAAATTAACTGTGGTTACTGCATTCCTGGCTCAGAATCTTTAACAACAGTGGTAAAACGAAAGCGTAATGCATAATCCGAAGACATACAAGTCATTAATGGAACATGAACTGCTAGTCATAACCATTGCAAGTTAGATGCAATAGCGAGCTAGCCGTAAGTGTATCGAAAACAAACCTGAAATTTAGGACTTACGTCCCGAACAAGCAAGCAAATATTAACAGCGCAGCAAAGCTCCACATACTCGCATTATTGTTGGGAATCATCGGCGGCACACATCTGACAAAACCCCAGAGAAATTTAAATTCGCGAACCCCCAACTCGCCATGAACGGCTAACCAGCAGTGTGACTGTCTCATAACACTATTCCAGAGCACCGCTACACGCTGACGGTATCACCTCAGCCGGTGGTGAAACACCAGGAAACAAACTGCTCTGTCCGGATATGGCAACAGTCCTCTACACTACTCGAGCTGCCGACACTCCACAACTGCTCCAAAGTAGTACTTCTGCAAGTGTTCTATCGCTGACGTGATGTACACGGTCTTCGACAGAATCGAACCCAGTCGGTGCAAAGTTCGGGTTGCTAAAAACCTGAGGCTCATGAGGTGATAAAAGTAACTAGGAAAACCGTACTTGTTTGTCTGGAGAATCCACTATGTCTGGATGAACAGTTCGTCCTGTTTGACGTGGTGCTACCAAACGAACATCACCCTATCAAATATTATCGCGCTGGAGAACGCTGTGAATATGGAAATACGCATATTTACACTCACCAGTAGGAAGTGGACTGTAAACCTGGCGTCATTTATCCGTTTGATACTCATTCATCTATTAGCAATGTTGTGGAATGTGGGTAGCTCGGGTGCGCTGTTCGGTTGTTGGTCTGTTCGCCGAGCTTGGCAGTTGGATTAAAAACATTTCATCACCAATCGAGGTGACATCGTCAGTGCAGGGTTGAGTGCACTGCCTGCACTGACGTCACCTCGATTGGTGATGAAACGTTTGCAATCCAGCTGCCAGGTTCGGCGAACAGACAAACAACCAAACTCATTCAGCGGTTTTGCTTCTATCGTTACTAATTTATGTCCCTAGCACAAGGACCGCGTGTCATCTGGTGACGTTGAACCGGAAAGGCGCAGGTTTTACTTACATCCCGAGAAGCCTACATAGGTGACAGGAGGTTCATAATCGTGAGACTGACGCTTCATTTCAGCGAGACATATCACTGACTTACCCGAAGAGATCAGGTGGATTTAAAGACGTGAACAAATGAAATTGAACCATAAGCACTTCACCGCTATTTAGCTCACAGTAGACGTTTATTTCTTCCAACGTAGCCTTTTTATTGCCATAAACTCGTATTAAGATCTCTAGAAACAAAAGGATGACATTTAGGTAGTTTTTAGCTCAATGGGTCCATTTGCTCTCAGAAACTGATCCAAAGGCCGCCAGTTATCTGGCATCCTCACTTTCTAACTCAGTGCGTACGAACAAACTATGCTATATTATCGCCTACCTATAACGCAATTATATTCCAGTGGACATCGAATGAATGCGGCAGAATAATAACTAGCCAACTTTGAGGTGAATCTGGGTAGTGGAACCTACCGGATATGCCGAAAAATAAAAGTTCATGAATCGCTCATGGTCGTTCCAAAATGTGGATGCTGCGCCAGGGGGTAGAGGTAGTTTGACTAGAATTCTATCTAGCTCCTGATCAACGTAGCCGATTTCATCATGATCCGTCTCTTTGCGTTCAATAGTTGATCCGATTTTAATGTTGAACCCCGGTACCGGCCTGCCTGCCGATCCCATTGGTGTCGTAACACCATTCTGAGGTAAGTAGCCACCCTTCAAGCCAAAGCAACTAGAGGTCATTGGCCAAGCGGTTTCTGTCTGCCACCAACTGTCACTCAGTCTCACATGCTTCGGTAATCCATTAGCAAGCCACGTCAGCGTCTCAGCGTCACAGTGCTCTCCAACGACAAAGCCGTATCGAAGTTTGTCCAGTTGTTCACGGTACTTTTTGCTCTGACTCAAAAACGGATCTTCTTGTCGAATGGAACGCAGTGCACTAGGGGTTGTGTACCATCCATTGACGCCGTACTCATGAAGCACGCGGAACACTTGCGCTGCATCTGGGGTATGAACGGGCTTGCCCTGTTGGGAAGAGTTTGTACCATAAATATAGCAAACAGTGGGACAAGTAAGTACTTCATTGTCTGATGGTCCATAAGGAGAGGTTTTTCAACCTCGTGGACTAGAATTCAACGTACTCTGGTGTGATTTGGTCTATGGGCCAACTGACAAAGTTCAACTCATTCAGAGGATGTGGTGTACAAACAGGCACCGTGAATAGCTGCGAAAAATGGTTTGGCCCCATTCCTTCACTACGTCAAAACATATTCTAGAAACTGACTCCAGTCAGCCACCTTGCTGGATGTAGATTCAGTCTCGAAGCTCTGCAATTTATAAATTAATGACTACTACTGGATCGGAATTTGCAAAAGAGAAATTTCGTCCGGATATCTGCAAAACTATAGAGTACGTTACATTTTTCCAACAAAAGCACACCTTGGTTGGTACAGAAATTCGTTCACTTGTATCGATTGTATTGTCACCAGAACTACAATTTCTAAGATCACATGATTCACCGACCGATTTTCGAAATATGCTGATTAATTGGGTTAGTCGGCTGATTTTGATTGTTTCGGTGATGGAAGCTCACTCACATCATATTTGGCTTTTAGGCCCTGCTTGTCTAGTATTATGAAGTGGTTACCAAGGTAAGCTGCTAAAAACTGCTAAAGGTAAGCTGCTCCGACCGGGGTCAGAGAACACAAAACTACACATCGCTACACGGGCAATAGTAGGGGGTATGTGCCATGGTTACCTCATTGCCGAATTTTCGAATCTGTCGATCAATAACAACTAAGTCAGAGCTGTCGAAACAGTTGATTTTATTGCAGCAAACTTCGTGGTGTGCGCAGTTTGTATAGACGAGTAAGGTAACGCGAGTAAGGTAACGAGTAAGTAACGCGGTCGTCTGCCCTCACTGAAGATAGAGTTTTGCATGCGCTCAGTGATTGTCCAGTCCATCCTCCAGAAGGAAGTCTACACCAGAAAGAGGGTTTTCGAGGCAAACAATTTCCCCATCTCCCGAGAAGCAAACCTTGAAGATTCTCACAGAAAGCACCTCTTATTTTCCTATATGTATGATGGCGGCCTGGATTATTCCTATGGCAGTTCTGGCTCTGGGCAACGTTGGCCTCTTTCCCGTAGACCTCGGTTTGTAGATGTCTGTTTAAAAGTCAGCTAATGAGCACATCCAGGAATGTCAATTTTTCGTCAACTTATTTTTCTACCATGAATTTAATATTGTCGAAGACGTCGTTCAATGAGTGACTGGCTGGTTGCAGTTAACTCATTTTTCATGGCGATGTGCACATCACACACTCCATGATTTAGTTTTTGAAGCAAGACTCGTCCAACTCTTGGAATTACAGTCACACCATACTCTGCCAAACTCAATGTGTGGCTAGGCAAAGGTTGGCCAGTGTGTGCATGCTTTAGTTTATAAGGGTGTTCGAGACACAGCTATCTCAGCCGCAGCTCAATTCAAGCAACTGAGGTCCACTCACGTGAACAGTGAGTTCACATAAAGCCATACAACAATTTTGCCTTATTCTATATGCATGCCCCCGAGTTTGTTCAGAAATTGTTTTGAGTTGTTGCTTAGTTATTGAGATTTACTGATAAAGTGTTTGAGCTACTTTCACATTTCCTTCGAAAGTTTGTAAGCTGGGTTCCCAGGACTGAGCCGATGGAACTCTAGAGAAGCGTGGGATATTCTGTTCGCGTTTCCGTTTTCTCGACCAATCTTATTCGGTGATTTTCCGCAGATCCCGCAGTCTTTTAAGGCTTCCACTGATTCTGTTCGCAGCAGTTTTGATTTTACCACTCTCCCGATGTTGATGTGTGTTAGCGTGATTGAACAAACAGTTCATTTACTATATGTAGTCCAACTTGCCCAAAATCGTCGGATGACGATGGTTCCTACTTCCATGAAACGACAGTTGGATCCTTTTCTTTACCCAAGGAAGCATCAAAGGTTTTGCTGTGCTTATCAGCTAGGGTCGATGAAGTTTTTGAGTGGTCTTACCGAGTACAGACGAATTTACAGCTGTTATGAACTCGTCATTAACCCCAATTTCGTTGCCTGTTTGAAAACGGAACTAATTCACCCAATAAGAACGTCCCGTTTCACTTATCTAAGGTGATTGTTGGAGAGATTCTAGGTGTTATCCACCAAACCGAGCGCTGATGATATTTCCCCGATTGCTGACGAAGGTTCGCAGGCCGTTTACCAAGCTGGGCAAAATGATCAATAACTATTTTGTCAACAGCTACTTGGCGCAATCGAGCTAACGGTATTTAAATGTTATCCACTCACAGACATTAAACCATCTAGACTTACCCTAGAAGCATAATAAGTACATTATAGAATGTTCCTACGCTTATGCACTGTACAGCAACTTATCCTTATAGAAAATAAAAATTGTAGAGATGAATTTCAACAGTTTTTCACTCTAAGTAACTGACAAGGCAGTGATTTGAGAGTAGGGAAACCAGCGAGGGTCAAACGGTGGGCTAAAAGAATACACTTGTTGACCTGCAGTGCGATTTAATCTCTTTCGAGCGTCTTATGCAGAATAAAAACAGTCATCAGGATGCAAGCATATATCGGACAAGAAAATGGCACCACATAGTGGGTCATCTGATAATGCGCCTCAATCTTGTGATTTGTCTTCATGGATAAGATCAATGCAACCAACCCTAATATAGATATCGAAAAGGCACATTTGATCTCAGTCCGTCATTCACTCTAGGTAAGCTCAACTGCCATGTCTTTCTTTCTCCAGTGTTGTGCTTTTGTTACTGATGGACTCGAATTTGGGAAGAAAAGCTTTTATAGATTTGATCTACCCTGATTCGCATGACCTAATCAGTCCTTTGGTGCTTGTGGATGTCCAGCTGTTATGACTGCCATGAACACCAAACACCGTTGAATGATTAGGTACTTCAGGTGATTGGTAATCCTGAATTTAGTCAATTGGTTCAGAAAAATGCTCGGTCGACTGAAATGACAACGGCCAAGATAAAATAAGTGAAGCGTCAAAAATACGAAGTATGAGATTGCAAGGCTGTGACAGGCAAATGTGGACGGCTCGTGTTTATAACTACCGTTTTCTTAGAAACCCACTTGGGGGATAAGCACATTCGTCAGAGTCTAGGTCACTATTGATTATACGAATGTTCAGAGGGTGCTACTCTTTAAAGGTCATACTGAGGATGATTCACTTTTCATAAACAACGGAAACTCGTCTTTTCTACGTTGAAATGTCTAGTCGGATCTTACTTCATACACATCAGTATGGATGACAAGCTGACTAGGTTAGATTTTTCCCACGTGACATTGGGATATCACTCGTCGTTGTCAAGGATAGTAGATTATCATTGTCTTTGATTTGATTTATGTGTACTTCCATCAGACTGATAATTTGAACAAGCAGTACAGTCAGCGTCCCTCTCATATTTATTTATTTGTTTATTTTTGAGCGGATCAATTGAAGTAACTGCTCCGGGACAGCAAGGAACTTGTGAAAACGACACCAACGTGGAAATCGATCAACAACTTATTTAGTTGTTTTTATATATAACACAAGCCTGGATTATTTGGTAGTGCGCTTCTCAAGAAAGTCAAGTAAGTTCCGAACCCGCGCTCTCCCATCGACCACCTTGAACACTTAGTCGTTCGACCATGAGTGGCTGATCGCCAATGTGATTAGTATGCTCTTTTATTTATTGGCCGTTGTGTGGCTTAATTAAGTTGCTGGCGCAAAAAAATGCTCCGAAAACATGTAAAATAGCATGTAAAATAGTAGTGAGAATTGTCTGGAGGACGGTTCCATCTTACTTTTCTTCCACACGCACGGATCAATATCTGATATATTTATATATACTAAGGTGTCATACGTAATTCACCAACCAGAGTCACACACCAGTTACGCAAGGAAACACTTAGAACCAGAGTCATAGGAACGCCGTTTGACGTTCTGTGGTATTACACGTGACAAAGAAATAGCTGACAATTTGATGAAGGTTAGTCATTCGTGCCGTGGTATATAGGTCACACTGCATTTCTGGTAATATTCGTATGCTGCGCAACGTTTAAGTTCATGTCTCACATGAATCAGCGAGGTCCAGTTCTGAATTAAGATGGAGCTGATACAGATGTGCTAGTATACCTGGTGCACTGGTCGTCAAACTACTATAGAGGCATTGATTTAGGTGAAATCTTTCATGTCCCGAGTCATCATCGTCATCATCAAAACCTTTGCTCAAACCTGAAATACGAAGTCAGACGAAATTTTCTGAGCAAGATATGGAGTGTAATATGGAAGTCTAAAGCAGAGTCATAGGAACGCCGTTTGACGTTCTCTGGTATTACACGTGACAAAGAAATAGCTGACAATTTGATGAAGGTTAGTCATTCGTGCCGTGGTATATAGGTCACACTGCATTTCTGGTAATATTCGTATGCTGCACAACGTTTAAGTTCATGTCTCCCATGAATCCGCGAGGTCCCGTTCTGAATTAAGATGGAGCTGATACAGATGTGCTAGTATACCTGGTGCACTGGTCGTCAAACTACTATAGAGGCATTGATTTAGGTGAAATCTTTCATGTCCCGAGTCATCATCGTCATCATCAAAACCTTTGCTCAAACCTGAAATACAAAGTCAGACGAAATTTTCTGAGCAAGGTATGGGGTGTAATATGGTAAGTCCAAAGTCAAAACACCGCCCAGTTTAGCAAGATGTCACCATCCAACCTTCTGCATGATGTGAAAAACCTTTTTCAAGGGTTTTTACGGCCAGTCTAATATGGTGCATGTACAGTGTCCTCCGGATCCACCATCAATTTGTCTTGATTGCTGTGATCCTGAGACCGGCTGCTGATAACATGGGACTTGTGTATGTATGGACTGTTTTTACTTCAAGCTTGCCGTTACTCTGTACACCTGTTGTATTGAAAATAAGACTTTTGTGACCTTTTCTCATCACCTTCTCATTTGTACAATCACCCTTCTCTAACCGATGTGGCTTTGTGACTTCATGAAGACATCACAACCAACATTGAACTTAATCCCATATCTGTTCCGCATATGCATTTAGTCCTAGCTGAACCGTACCAACAAAATAGTAGCGTAGTGTTCCGTTAAACCGTGAAATAAGTCTTCGGCAATATATCACCCTCGGGATCTTTGCTGAGCTAAGAATTCCAGGGAATTGCTCGCTTCAAGCGGAGGCGGAAAGATGAAGCATCCACGGCTGTCTGACCATTAGATCCTTTTAAACTGGCCAACCATGATTGGGCGCCACTTCATGTTACATGCGGGTCACGAGACTAGCTGAAATGTGAAGATTCAGAGTCCATTGTCAGACCAGTGGACAATGGTGACTCTAGCTATAGAGGCTACTGCGTTGCAGCGCCGAGCACCTATTTAAGGTTGCGCGAGTTCCTATGAATGCATAAACTTCTGCAGAACTCGTTATTACTGAAGGATCACTGTTAGAGGAAACATTTTACTTAGAAAACTAATGGTAATTGTATCAGGTAATTGTATCATGGTAATTGTATCCACTGATATATTCAAATATGCCTTTGTTTGTTGATTCGGCTTACATCGTAACTAAGGTCAAGAAGCAGTCTAAATCGTTACCTCATATATCACCGAGGTAGTACGATGTAGCAACGGTCCGTAGCAGCAAAACGAATGCCCGACGACCCATCCGAATTCGCTGGACGCCCACCACCGATCTCCAGGATTCATTCCAAACACGTTCGCCAGCGTATATTTTAAGGCAACCGCATGTCCCCCATTAGGTCGTACGATCCCTTTGGGTATGCCTGTTTATTTGTTTTGAAAGACAGATGGATGTGCATTATCAAATGAGATGGGTCTTCGTATTGTGTATTCATTGTCACTTCATTCAAATCAATGGGAACACGGCCCACTTTCCTTTCCTCCAGCTATAGAGATAATCAAAGATTTCAAATGGAAAATAAACTCCACCGAATAGCATAGATTTTATATACGTAGGGGAATTACGTTCCGCCATTTTTTGGCAATATGATGGATTAAAACGCTACTTTGCACACACTTTAAGAAATAAATTCACTCCTATCCTTTTGAGATTAAAGCAACACCAGAGCTTCTGACAATTCACTCCACAGCCTTGAAATCTGACATTCAGAATACTCAATAAAATTTCCTATGTATTCAGTACCGGAACGTATGGTGCTCATTACCTCTGGATGCCGGTTCTTCCTATGATCTTTTGCCGGGGCATGGCGTGGAACAATGTCACATATGATAACGATATGGTCCATCGGTCCGTTCAGGTTTCATAGCAGAGAGCTCATCTGTACTTCTGCCTGGAAAGTCTCAAGCTTCAAGTTATGGGGAACAGGATCAACTCTAGTCAGGACACATAATATGTACACTGGGCCTAGGAGAACTTGTAATAAGTACAGCTTCTTAGGTACCCCTTCGTGAGTGTATATGCGTTCTGCTGCAGAAGAGGCAATAATGCACCTCATCAGCTTATACAACCTTCTCTCCCTTGGCCTCATACTGTAATGGGTTAAATGCGTACCTTCAAAATTTTCGCTTCTTATCCCACGAGTTTATTGTCTTTGAAACCAAAGGAAGTTCATTCACTAGTAGAATTCGGCAATCCGTATATGGGACCAGGGTGGACTTGATAACCTGGTTACCGAATTCCGTTCTTATGCATAGCCGTAACTATTGTTAAGTCCCTGCAACATCCCAGGTCAACGTTCTCTCAGCTTTAAATGCGTTGAACGAGCATGGTATGAAACCTACGCTTTTAAGCACCTTGGTCTCCACTCAAATTCGTGAAATCGATCAAATTGTTTCGAGCTGAACAGTTGGTTTTAGCTACTACCTCTGTCCCCAAGACCTTCAGAATGTGCTTGCCCACTTTAGCAGAGTAATTGTCGAAAACGTCTAGAGGCTTTATCACTGTAGGGCAAACTAAACGCCCTTGTCTCCACCCGCTACACCCACGAAGGCAGCGAATCTTCAGATTATTTTTATGTCTCCACTGATTTTAACTGCTCTTGGTTAGATCGCACACTTTTCGGACAGCTAAGGTCTGAACCTGAAGAGAGTATTCTTACCGTGAGTTGAGTGTTGTGAGAGTAGGGGGAAGACTTGCAGAGCCGTATCGCCAGCACCCATGAACGGCTGAAATGCAGCACATACTGAAGTCAGCAAACTCACTGCACCGTGGGGAAATTAGATGGCGGGATATGCCAGGAAATAGAAGTGACTTAAAAGGGGCACTTACATCCTTTCTTATTACCAGGCCCGTAAGTGGAAGTACTTAGGAGAGTCCTTAGAAATGTTTTCCCCTTCCGAATCAAACTAGTTCTCAATAGTCATCCCATCAGTTGATAATAAATAAACCTTTCGTGCAACCTTATCTTTTTCAGCAAAGTCTGGCTTCGACGGTCTAACAGTGCACTTGAACATCAAATGATTGATCTAACAGCTTGGTGACCTCAATTCCGACGTTAGATTACGTAACTCAGTCCTACGCTCAAACAAACCACAACACATAGTGAGAAAAGGATAGTGCTGCGGTAGGGGCATTTTACTTGCACTCTGCCGACTTGTGAAGCAATGTGGAGATGAGGCGAGTCAAGCAAGCATTCTGTGAGAAGTGCACAATGGGTTGTGGCGAACCTCATCAAACGTGCGAGTGGTTTGATGGACCATGAAGGCAAACAATATGACGAGCTAGGTCGTACTGATGTGAAAATAGGTCCAATCGGTTCGCTAACTTTTCCGCACCCAAAGGTGGGCTCTGAGCAATGCTTACGTAGCGCATTTGCTTGTTATGTGGTGATTAGTTCATCCAACTTTGAAGTGGTTCGCAAACCATTCAACTCATATCAGACACCATAAACCCAGATTCGAAAACTCGCAAACTTTCTTTTAATTACACGATCATGAGCAGTGTGCGGATTGACCAATGAACCGACAGAGCAGACACGAGACACTGGCCTTTCTGCAGCCGCACTGTTACAGAATACTGTGGAATGGTGCGGTGCGGTACGGTGCTTATAGTCGGTATTCTGCTGATGTGACGAAAATGACTCGAGAAGCATTTGGCGAAGGTAACGATTAATGGGTGACAGAAGGAAATGAACACATTTCCCAAGATCGATAAACATCTGGAGGAGAAAGATCTCAATGGAAAGAACCTTTGGAAAATTTTCTATCTAAAAACAGGACCGCGTGCTCGTACGCTGCTGTGATCCTGATCAAGGGGCAGGATTATAAGTCTGACAGCTGGAGAATGAACCTGCACCCAATTTGTAGGTTATGACCCCACAGCGTAGTAGGAGTGGGCCTCAAACGAAAATCGTACAAAACTGGATGTTGTGATCAAGGGAAATAGAACATTATGATTTACAGAGTGTTGACGGGCCGGATTTTGAATGTAATAATCCTCCTCAGAGGAAATTTACTCCTATTACACGCTGGTTTTTATTGTTCCAATTCACTGACTCAGTCCAGTGGGATGTGATGGAACATGTGGGTTCAACCATATCTGTCTGCATTTGTGTTGCGTGGATAGTGTTGAGAGCGCACATAGAAAATTCAGAGATGTCGAAATCAAGGGAATTTAGATGACCTGTTGTGGTCGAGTTCAAGGGTTAAATCAGGATAGATGCGAACTGAACTGAAGCTGTTCAACTAATCGATCAGTGTCGCTCAGCATCACGTACAAGTGACATTTACCCAACGGTCGTACGGTGTGGCTTGTCAAGTATGTGTACTTAGGTGGTGAACAAATCAGCCTGAAGAGTACCCGAAAGAGATCTCATCGAATCTCTGTGAACGGATTTCACTAGTTAAGATAAAGCGAACATGACATGTGCAAATCCATAACCATTTAGATACAATATGATGCTGCCAAAACACTGGGCGCTAAACTTTATAAGTACACATGTATGGTCTACTGTTTAGCTCAGCGTCAAACGGTGACGTCAGGTGGAAGCGGGTGGTGGTTTTTCTTCGAGATGGTTAACGAACAAGAAAGTGTCTTTCAAAATGCTCGCTGACTCCATTTTTCTCTTTGGTTCTAGTGGGTTAGCTAGCTACTCAACTAATGCATCCTAAGGATAACTGAGTGTATCCCAGCACTGATTCTGGTAAAATGTTCCCTGATCCATATTGTACTAAACCACGTAATCATTTTCAGATATTCTTATCGAAAATGCACAATAACCAACCAGACACCTTTCCGTCTTACTGAGTTACACTACCATTCACTGAGTTTCATACCAGTTGTTTGGAGCAAAACCTCAATAGGAACATTGTTCGACAGATACCGATGCAGCTGTATTAAGGATGAATTACCCCCAGAATGTGACCTTCACCAATGTCCGGGCATCGACGGCGTTCAAAGGTTTGCTTCTGTGGTGGAACCCACTATTCCTCATTCACGGGTTTTTCACGGGTTTACTGGCTATAGAGTGTTCGTTTCATCTACAAGACTGGGTGAGATCAGACCGAAATCTCATACGTTAAGGTGAGCTAATCGGCAAGGTGCATAATTTTTTTTTACTTGCACAGTTGGGTGAGTTCGATAGCCCCGATAGACAGTCAGAAGGCCAGGACCGTTTTTGTCAAATTCCAGGTCTTAGGGCACCAAAGTGACGCCAGTCTGTCCGTAAGCGATAGAGTACGCACACTTCGACATCGCTGGCCGAACTGTTTTGCGATCTAGAAATATGGCTTTCACGTGCAGACCGTAAGCGATAGAGTACGCACACTTCGACATCACTGCCGAACTGTTTTGCGATCTAGAAACATGGCTTTCACGTGCAGAAGATGAACAAAACCTCCCAGTGTATGACCGTCGGTATTTCTAAAGAACATATAGGGTATGATGGGAACATCGGACTAGTGCTGGTTATTGGCACCGGTAGCTATGACTGAATCACGCAATTAGTGGTGCTCCTGCATCAAAGCCACCACCTTTAATGCGTAACCATCCCGCTTAGCAGGAAACTAGATCGATTCAATTGACTGGTTGTATCGGATCCACTAGTGCCCTTCACTATAACCCCATCTTTTGGTGACCAAAATAGTTTCGGCCGCAAGCACTCCGCCCTTGGTATACGGTCTGCAGCTGATAAGCTGGAGTGAAATGCCAACTAGTCAAGCACCGAACTGATATAGGGCTCATATTAATAAGAACTAGGAAATATTATGAAATAATACGATTGTGCCCTTCACTATAACCCCATCTTTTGGTAACCAAAATAGTTTCGGCCGCAAGCACTGCGCCGTTGGGACACGGTCTGCAGCTGATAAGCTGAAGTGAAATGCCAACTAGTCAAGCACCGAATTGATATAGGGCTCATACTAATAAAAACTAAGAAATATTATGAAATAATATGATCTCATCAATTATTAACAAAAATCGAAACTATTCTGAGTAATCGGTAAACTAAACAATCGACGAGCCTACTAAATAAATAGACATGCCACGATGCTGCTGGCTGTCTTTACCGGCTTGCCAACCAACTAATTTGCTTTTTACACTTGTTGGGAGAGAGATTTGAGTTTTCTTGGTCTGTGTGATTACGAGGAATCACTACTCCGAGCCAGTTAACAATGACCATTCGTTCGGGAAAGTCTGGTTATTTTCTGATTTATGGACTTGGTTTTTTTGAAGCCCTATCCCTTACTTCACTTGAGAACCTAAATTGAGGTACGTTGGCTGAGCTTTAGGCATTTGCAGACCAGTGTACAATTCACTCCAAAAAATCCACTCAATATTGACTTGTAAATGAATCTTGATCAGACATTTGCACGGCGATTCTAAAAAACGTCTATCACTACACTGATTAACGGCCTCCAAACGGCCTCCACACTTAAGTCGTGTCAGGTTACGTGCAGGTCAGAACTACGGTCCTAAGGACCGTACCCCAAAGGCACAGACCGACTGACGTTGCAAGTTTGAGGCAGGCCTCTATGGTTGCCCAATGAAGGTTCTTCCAAACGACGTGGTATTTGTTTCGTAGTTGTTAGTACCACATGGCTCATATTAGAGTTTTCTTTCCTGATAGTAAAACCAGAACAATAAAAGGAGCAGAATGAATTTTCCGATTCTCGTGTTATTTGCAATAAGCAAACCTCTGGGGCGAACACCCCTTCAGAAAAGACGGTCTGGTATCAGGCCTTGGTCACTACGTTTCTATGGTTAATTCTGATATAATCACCATTACTGGAAAATAACAGAACCTATAGGCATGAATCTCAAAGCTGACTACCCCAACAAGCTCTGAGCAGTAGACCTGCCGTTTTGATAATTTCGTCAGCGAGAAACGGGCGTCACCACCAGCACACTAAACTGCTGTGCATCAAATCACACCGCGTTACTGGTTCTGTTGCTGTTACACCTAGCTGATTCCCCATGACGTATTTGCCAACAAAACGAAAGAATTCTCATGACGTCAGACTATGACGCTGATTAAAAGTTGTTAGTCCACTTGATGTTTTAGGAAAGGTATAGTCCTGTGATCGTAGCATGGCTGCCATGGCAGCATTGAAGACGGGAATAGTAGTGCCGGAAGTAAACCGCAATGAAAAACCTTGAATACCACCGCCTCACAGGTCATAATCCATTCAGCAACGCCCATTAGATGATATGTAACTAAGGGGCTTCCAGTGAAGTACAGTTTTGAAGACTAGTTCGAGTACATACGACACGATTAATACAGCCACTTAAGCCTGCCCTATGTATTGTTGTTCTGCACTTTAGTCACTCACAGTAAAATAAAGGAGGCAAAGGCTTCTCAGTGACTTAAGCACTACAAAACTGAATTTACATTATGAATCCAAAAGGAGGACAGAGATACCGAAAATTCATTGGAAACTTGATTCGTTAATTCACTGACAAAGAGATCAAACAAAAGAGGGCCGTTCTAATGATGCTGGACGATTATACTGCTTATCCACTTTTTCAGCTGAGTGAGTCAAAGTGAATGTTTTTGCTTTCAAACGCATCGTCCCACCTGCATCCAATAATGCCGAAATCACTAGGTTATTGAGGTCAACAGTTGTTGTCACACATCTGATGTTTCTCAGAAACTGACCTCCAGCCAGGCAAGTGAATTGTACTCTCATATTTTCATCAGTAGATTCAACTGTTGCACGCCATTGTATGGATCCAAAATCCTCCTGACACTATGTCCCGTGCGACCACTTGCGGACATTGTTTTAGCCAGGTGAACTCTAACTTATGGACTACATACTTAGAACCAAGTTTGATTGCCTTTTAGGGGGTTTCTACTCTGATGGCACATGTCTTGCTAGATATCCATTTAAATTCTGCGGAACTCTTGTGGAAAGGCGAAGCAGACAGGGAGAATGTCGGTTTCGAAAATAATTACTGCAATAGATTACACTTATCTGATTCGTAAACTTGAAATATGGTCAAACTGAGATGAACTGCAGTGCCCAATGTCCCTAAAAAGTAAATCTCGTAAAAAGTGAAGCAAAGAAGCCGACATTTTAGTGTTTCTACTAAATGTATCAAGCATTTTGTGAGACATTAAACGATTCCTAAGGCTGCTTTACCCCGATTAGAGAATCCTCGTTTGAAGCGAAAGATTTTGCATTTTCCGGATTGTTGGTTCCTCTGTGTTGTGTTTGCTAAAAACACACGTAAAACTTATTGTGACCTGAAGTGAACCAGCCTGCTGATTGTGCCAAATAGCCGCATAAATAGATTATCCGCCATTTTAAGTGCACCTGAATTTGGATGTGTTTATTGAACGAACGTTCGTATCGCACAGCAAAACAAGATTGTCGCATGTGCTCATATTTAAGGAAATTGGGGAAACAAAGCAAAAGCCCGCTTCGAGGAACAGAGTTCGATTTTTAACGACGTAAGTGTGGGACGCAAATCAACACACGGAAAGCTTCCAAACCGCCGAAAGACGGGTTACACCACCTGCAATTTTACTGATGGTGAAACGTGCCTCTGGAATATCAACCAAAAGTTCACCCTGCAGGTGAAATAATTTTCTAAAAATTCGAGAACCGCTGCGCAATCGTTTCAATCTTTTTCGGAAATCACCACAAATGGGCACCTGACAAATATCCGGAGAAATTTGACCCCGCGATTTTATAGTGAGAATTGAACAGTATACCATCACGTCGAGAGTAACGAACCTGTAGCGCGATTTACTTGCACCCGAACAGGCATCAGACATCCACCATTTTAAATGATGTCACATTTTGGCAGGCTACTTAATTCGTGAACTGCAAGGCCCAAACTACTCGAGATACTAGCCGAACAAAAAGAAATCCAAATTGGAAATCCTATTGTTACTTGTACAGCTTGAGCTTGCCAATACTACGTAAATGACAGTGGCTACCTTGAGTTTATTTCTCGCCAATCCTACTTTTGAAGCTACTTGATCTCACGGGTAGTAATTAGGCTAAAGTTTAAAAGCGGGATGGACCCAGTGCCATATGTAAATCTTACCCAAAACGAGCCCAATACACAAAGAAGAAGAAACTCTCGCCTGCTTAGCTGGCTATGGCGTGACAGCGTGATCGCCATTCGGATCAGTTGGTTGGCATGTTCTTCACGGACCCCAACCAAGTGCAAGGCTAATAATGTTGGCCTCATACAGGTGGGCGTCACGATTGCTGTCACTTTCATTCAGGCGACTATATTCTAACCTACTTTCTGTAAAATTTCTCCAGTGAGGTAGACGGTAGCTAGGCATGTGTAGTAAAGTCATAAATTTTAAACGCCCGGCACTCTGACTAGCTTAACCGATGTATCATGCGTCACCTAGATTTGATTTGTTTCAGTAGGCGGCCTGCATGGTTCATGGCATGACAGTGCATTGGAGTATTAAGGCAGTACTGTCCTCAAATAGAGTTAATAAAGAGACAGCAGTCCATAAAGATGAAAAATTTAGTATCGGTGATAGGTTGCCCCAAGAGACGGCCTCTAAAGTAGCAGCTCTTCGTTATTCCCCTCGAGAAAGAAAGATCACACCTTTAACCAAAGACATTTCATAACTTGTCCCGTGAGCGTTTAGCTAAGTTGACACCTATTAGGAAATCGCTCCCTTACATTCAAGGAAAGGCACAGCCACTTACAACAGAAACCGGATCCTATACCTTGATGAAGGGTGGTTGGACAGGCTTAGCATATCTTCGGACAGCCTCCCTTCTACCGAGATCCTCAGCAACTTACAGTACTCTCGAAAGAGTTTAACTATCAGTTGCGTAAGTGTGAGCCTTCACGGAAGATTTCGTATCATCTTCTATACAGACTGCAATCTTCATGAAAGTTACTCTGGGGTGCATAGTTAATACCTGTAGTCAGCATAAATTACCTGTGGTTCCGGAAGTGTACAGGATGTAAAGTGGATGATTGGCCTCAACGGGAACTGCATCATGCGGTTGGGTTGATGACATCAGTTCATCCCAGTCAAACCACGACTTCTTGGCGTCCAGTTCAACCTTCTCAAACTCTGGACGATTGTACAGGATGCAGGGGAAATCTCCAGCGACATATCCAGCAGCTTTGATGGCATTATCTACGGTTGGTTTGTAAGAAACCAGCTTCTGTCTTTCTTTTCCGAATGAGGCGGTCACGATTACCTTTGGCTTGAAAAGGCAAGAAAGAAAATGCTGAAAAATGCAGTTTATTCGCCCAGGATATTTCTAGCCAGTTCCTTGAAAAAAACAAGTGTTATGAAGCTTTCGCTACCTCATCCTTTGATCGAAATGAAGACCAAATCGAGGTAAACACTTAGACACTCAATAAGTTACTTAGGGGTACATTCAGAAGAGATCACCGTGGTAAAGGTTGGGCACCGACCCACAGGACACGCTGCCATTGACGCTCCAGAGGAACCACCTTTCATAGAAGGGGTAGTTCTGGAGACAAGCGTCTGTTTCGATCCACATCACCGCCTTTACTTACATCTAATCGGAACAACTTAGTTATCATAATGTTTAATAAAACCTTCCACGGAAATTGCAGGAACCGGATTATCCTACAGTCAGTGGTCGGAAAAATACGATCATCTCTAAAAAATACCGGAATGCCTTGATGCTCCCGAAGTTATGTGCCTCGTTTTTGGAATTGTCTTGCATCGTTCTTAGCCCAACATAGATTCCGGAACGATATGTCTAGTACTAGATAAGACGGTAAGCAAGTATATAGTTTCAATGCTAGAGTGGGAGTGGATTCACTCCTTTGTTATGAACCTCTTCATAAAATAAACTTTTCAATCAACCACTGCCATTAGTGAAATAAGCCACAACCTGTTGTTTCATCGGACATTCGTCTGAAGTTTATAAGCCAAAAACAAAATAAACTTGAGCCTGAGTCATCAGTTTTTGATTCCGTCCCACGACTTGTGTGAGGCACCCATAACCAAGGGATGCAAAAGGGCGAATATCAGCTGCATCTGCAGAGATCGTCCAAACTACTAGTGGAAATGATCACAAGCTGACTGTTCAGTGTGACTAAAGGGTTGCCAATGAATATATACATCAAGGCTTATATGTGATTATCTTGATAGTTGGATGGACACCAGGCTTAACCCTGATTTCTTGAAAATTCTTTTCACTGTCATTTTGCCAGCCAGTGACAAAGGTTGGGATATAGAGAGACACCAATCAATCTTAAAGCTTTTTACCCAAAAGAAAGCCATTCTTCTTCTTCAAAGAAGAGCTCTTTCTCTGCACAGGAAGACAACGTCGTGCACCGGGGTTGGAGGGCTCAGCAAATGCTACTGACAAAGTTTCCGTTTGGGGAATCAAACACGCAGACAACTTCTGCACAAAGAGCACAGCGAATATACCCATGAAAATATCAAAAACGTAAGCAGACAGAGGTCTATTATGTAGTTCCAGGACATATCTGATACTTTCAAACTGCAAATACCTTGCCATAGACGTACGGTGCCAAGATAGAGTACGAAAATCCGGTTACACACGTGCTTATTGGCACACCTACTGTTGTATAAATACATACAATATAAATTCGTTGCAGTTATTAAAAAGTTGAATATCACAACTTGTGGACACAAGGTAAAAAGCAGATCTGGCTACACCTTTTGAAACAAAGTTGACTGAAGCTATCACACGGGAACAAGATAACAATTCCTAACGACCACTGGAATTTACTCCAACTGTGGGTAGCTGGTAAAGGTGAAGTTGAAGACCATTCGGGAGAACGTATTTTAGATGATACTATGCACTTCATTAATACTTGACCTAGATTTACTCCAAGTTGTATCGCCTAACAGGAGTCAGCTGATTAGGCTATCACACCTTGATATTTATCAGTTAGGTTTAGTCAGGGTAAGCGGTTTATTTTCACTAATGAGCAGTATTGTGTTACAGCTGTTGAATTCATGATTATGCCAATTATAGTGAGACCACTTTTGGTTCTCCTTCTGTGATAATCGCGGTTAATTAAATGCTTTCAAGACACATTCGATGCGCATCTAGCTAACATAGATTGGTTTGACCAGCTTGTCTGTTGACCGCTCCAACGTAATGAAGTTAATCATTTCTCATTGATGGTTTCGCTGCCTGTCAGGGCGCGCCCAGACAGAAGAAAAAGCACACGTGCAGAGTGTCGCATCCCCAAGGTCACCATCGGTATGACACGTCCGGAAAGTAGGTGAGTCGGCGGCTCCCATCAAACAGGGCTTAGCAACAGACGACCAACGCAGTGGGCCTGAGAATGTTCACGACCGGAACACCACCACTGACTGTACGGAGCGAACAAGTGAGCGATCATATTTGACCAATTAGTCATCCTATATATTTACGCAGACGCTCTGTATGTTTTGTCCTGGCAATACAGCCATGTCCCCAGCTCTCTGTCTTCTCCATATCGCGTAGTCTAGCAGGCTCAGTGCAGGCGTAACCAATAGCTCGGCCACCGCACAATACAACACTGCCCGAATTTTCATTGCACTTCTGGATGAGAACCGTGAAATTCATAAGATGGTTCGGGACTTTGGAACTTACGTTAACCGGCAATGGACAGTAAGTTTGTAGATAAAAGCTTTCAAGAAATAAGGAGGCAGGTTAACGAGAAAAGACACAACACAGCCGCTGGTTGCACGACATCGCTGTGTCGTTGAGACGTCTGTGAACCCCAACCTCTTTGAATATATATACCAGTGAAGTCAAGAACCTTTGTTGTCTTGCTTTTACTACATCACCGGATCACGCACTGTCCCCCTTGTGTTACCTTTCTGTCAGAACCTGTCCCAGCAAATGACAAATTAAGCAATCACCTGACATACGGAGCACATGACCAAGCCAGGGTAGCTGGTGCAGGTGAATCAGCTCATTGCAACCGTTATGCTGCTAAAAACTGTTCGCTGCACTTTTCAATCGCTAATTTGATGCTCTCATTAAACACGTGCAATGTTTTGGGGGCCCGGTTGTTGGGGGCAGGGGTGTGCAATGTTTTGGGGGCACCGATGGTCGCAGGCAAGCGATATCAGTTTGTCTCCAACGGGCAGTCACCAGAATTCACAGTCGTAAGTGAAAAACTGGTTGCACTACCAAGTAGTAGATCCTACCTTTCATCAGCAGGCTCACGTCACCTCGACTCCTGAAGTACCCACATTAGTGGAAAACAGAACAATCCTTAGCTATTCTGGCATTTACCTTTTCGGGATGTGATGTGATGCAACTACCCACAAAGGTTAATCTGCCAATCATTCCTAGTGATCGTTATATCACGACCAGTTTTGGTATTCATCCAGTGTATTCATCCAGAACTTTGCACCTTGAAGAAGCAAATCGCATACCAAAACATGTGTGAAATTATTTGCAACATTTATTGCATTTCGCAGCTTCGATGCAATCTTAACCAATTAGGACAATCTGGTCTTCTCGGGGAAGAAACTTTACTCCAGGAGCGGAACACAGCTAATGTTCTCCAGTTATTTAGTTTGATTAAAAAATTGAAGAGAATGGGCGAAGTAGAGTATTCCCGATGGTTACCAATTTTGGCGACGAACTAAGAAATATCCCCATAGAATTACACGCACCAAAGGGCCTTGGAGCAAAAGGATGAGTGATATACGGGGAGATGTTCGGGACACCTTTGAAGAAGAGACGCAGCCCAAAAACAGCGACATCGGCTGAGTTGAACAAAAACCATTGGTCTCCTTCGTGTAGTTGTGTTCAAAAGCTGTAACAAGGTAAAGATATGTTCAATACACTCACGATCCGGATAAAACCGTGCTTGGTTTTCATAGAATTTCATCTCATGGTTTTATGGCATAATGCCGCTCAATTTCAGGTCTGGCAATCTTTGTGAACATGGAAACGACATCACCTATCCGTCATCCCTCTGGTACTTCCTTTGCGTTCCAAACCCTCCTCACACGTTGGCAGATTGTGAATGAGTCCTTCTCGTCCATTCTTCAACAAAGCAGCCAGACAACATGTCAGACGAATAGCCATGCCGCATTTCAGAATCTCAGTTTCTTTTTGCCTTTCTCTTTTGTTTGGACTGAGCTAGTCACGTCCCATCATGATTGCTGATTATTGTAGTAGGCATGCCAGACCGGCTAAATGGTTTTTTGAAGTGCTCTGACAAGCATCGAAGCTGGAATAGCATTTGGGCCATCATCCGCTGCAATGCTTCCACTAACCTGAGGGTTTTGTCCGGTGTTTCGGATAAGTTGTAAAGGATTTCAGGCATTTTCAATCGCCACAGCCTCACTCATTTCTTGGGCATTAGTTGGCCACAAATTCTCCAACTACGTCCCAAGAGTGCGGGTCAATGGAAGCTAGGAAGCTAACTTATTCGCCCCCAAAATATAGCTTCGGTGAAAAATACTTCTCACGTTTCGCGCCGAACGCCAAGGCAATGTGTATTTTCCACTTTCGTGTGAAGCAGGCAGAAAACCTCTGCTTCACAAAGTGATAAAAAAAAGGAGCTCTTTCTCATCGAACCCCTAACATTTTGTAGGATTGTCGCGTAAGTCTACTAAAATGTTTATTGAATTATCAGACTGTTAAAATCTCATTCAACATGGGTTTGCTAGGCAAATCAGCTTCTTGTCCAGGTGGCATGGAGCTGTGGCTGTTCGCATGAAACAAATTCATTAAATCACGACCGCACGGTATACTCGAGAATGTTTGAAAAATATTCAGGTGGCAAAGGTATACTCGTTCTAACCGGAAAGGTACTCCCTTCCACTATCAAAGTGATGGTACCTACTTCACATTTGTGTGGACTCGGCCACTTTCTAGACAGCACAAGCTCCAGGCGCAAGAGGTTGTCACTGATTTGCAACTGCTGTCCTGTTTGGCTCGGAACTTGGCACAATTCTTGATCCCAAAATCCACACCGGCTTTACATAAGCACAATTCTATTGCTACGGTTGGTAGACAAATATACGATCTTTTTTCTTTGTGTTTATTGGCCTACTTTCCATGTATTGCTGCTGTCACTCGTAGTATAAGAACTTGAGTTGAGGATCGACATTGCGTCGCTTGCGTAACACCAGTCTCCGCTAATTAACCGTTTTATCACGTACTCCAGTCGTATACCACAATACCTGTCACTCGTAGTATAAGAACTTGAGTTGGGGATCGACATTGCATCGCTTGTGTAACACCAGTCTCCGTTAATTAACCGTTTTATCACATACTCCAGTCGTATACCACAATAATGACAGTACATTGCCCGGGTACTAATCCAGGTTCTTCACAGCGGAAGATGATTCGCTGAAGCCCCAATTCTTGCTCAAGCTAATCTCAGTTCAGTTATGCTGAATCGTAACACTGACATTCACATTTTGATCTAATAGCCGAACAGTAACACTCTACGGATGCGACACACAGCAATGTCGTGACGTCATCCTACCATCTACTGCACCCTTGCTATGCTAGACTATGTTTGCTTATGCGTACCAGTCCGCTTCCGACAAGATTTGGAGTGGTGATTACATCGGGTGGCAAGGGACCAGCCCAACAGAAAAACCGAACACCAAACTTTGGACGCACTTTCATCCGGTTTTCAGCACATGATATCTCATGAGCCACTAATTATAGCGCTTAAGCTGCAAACTCCTGGTTCATATACGAAGCTCATGAATCCACAGTGCTCAGAATTAATATGGATTGCACATCATTGCTTCATTGGTGAAACTGTGTGAAAACATCACACACATAGGTGCCTATTTTGAACCCTTTTACTTCATTCCTGGAAAAGGACGTGACGTTTCAAGTGGCTCAGTGAGGTTTCTGGTTATATGTAATTACTTCACCTTGCACTTCTGATATGTCATCTGATTGCGTCAAACTGCCAGCTGAAGTCAACGAAAAGACTCATTTCGGGTGTATAAACATCCCAAGGAGTGAAGAGTTTCAGGAATTATGCAGTATCGGCTGCTTAACAGATACGAACTCATTTTTGCTGTTACTTTGACCTCATTCCCTTAGGGCAGACACGTTGACTGAAGGCGACGAAGCAACGCAGAAGAATTTATGCACATTTAAAAGTGAAATTTTTGCGGAAAGATTGTCGGCGGTTACCGACACGTTGCTAAAGCCCATACTCTACACAACCTATTGTTCAATCCAGCATGAACACATTTTTTCTCAATTTGATCTCAAGTTAGCGAAATTGAAACGTCACAAAACCAACTCATCTTCTCCTGTCTGGTAAGACCAAGCAGGGGAAAATGCGGTGGAATGGGCTTACACAACCTGCTCGACTTGAAACTTGTGTAGAAATCAATACAGAACATGAATTACCTGACCTTTTGTTTGCACTGCAAATAGCGGCTTGTAAGAATTATAGGGATGGAAACAAAAGACAACAAGAACACAACTTCTCTGGCTGACAATAATCAGTTTCAAGTTGCTCATCTGGTATAGACAAAGCAGTGAAGTATCTCAAACCATGTGATCCCTCAGCTTCAAACGTATCATCTGTTCCACTGAAATGATGTAGAAAGTAGAGTCCCAAAAAGACTCATAGTAGTACACAAGGAATGAATAAAGTGGACGAAAAATAAGCGCCCGGGCATCAATGTTGGTGAGGCTTAATACTGAGTGTTACCTTCCTAAAAGCGGCTATTGGGAGAGTTGAAACAACATGAAAAGAGAACACCCCAAGCTTTAATTGCGAACTGTAATTTCTTTCACAAGCAGATCCTTCCCAACAAACCGATACAAGTTGGAAATGATGACTGCACAAATATCCTAGAATGATGTTTTCGGTTAAGAAAACCGAACCGAAGAAGACCCAACTCCACTCGTTCGTCGGTCAAATCTAAGCAAATGTTACAAAGTGGCTCCACGAATTCCGCAACAGATCTCCCTTTTTCAATAGACGCGAAGTGAAATTCTACGAACAACACATACTACTCGCGTGCCTCCCCATCAGTAGTATCACCGTTACACTGGTAGTGTTTAGCGAACGCATCCTCTAAATGGCTCTGTGTGAGATATGAGATTTCCAGATCGAGGAATGTAGTGGGGTCAGGCGATCCAAACAGCGTATTACACATCCACAAGTGAATTTTGTTTGTATTATCGATGTGCTGCTATCAGCACCTTAAGGGCAATGGCATTAATTTGGGGAAAAACTTACAAAATAGTAAACTCACAGATGCACACATGATTTTTCATCTAGAGAACTGATATGCGTAACCACCAATTAGCATAACTTCCATAAGCTCAAAAACCACAGCCTCCCCGATTTGGACAGCTGAAATCGGCCACTCGACACGGAGTTACTAACATCCCTCTCACTTTCATTTTAAGTATGGGCGTTGTCTTTTCCTAAAATTTCGACCCTTTTACAACAGAGTACTTGGACGTATCCGCGTTTTTTGTGTTTCCCGGAAAACCCGTAGATAATCTTGTTATTCAAGTTGCCTAGTGCATGTCTAAGTAACTAACAAAAGTTTTCCGTCCCATGAGTTTGTCAGGATCATTTATAATGGGCATCAAGCTCCAGATTTGGCATCATTCGATTCTTAGGTAATCATATCATGAGAAGAATTATACTCCTTTATCCACACCCATTTCAGCACCTTTTGTCATACCATATGTTCTGAATATCAGTTTGCTTAAAGTGCTCGTCAGTTTCAGTTGGACTCGCCTACAAAGATGTAGATTTTGTCCCCAAAGGCAAAGACAGTTTACATCAAAAACCAAAACATTTTGTTGAATGGTGCACATGGAAATTCACATCAGAAATTCTGTAGAAAGAATTTAAGTATTCTAAAAATGGACGACTATCTGCTGTACAGTAGTGTGATGAGTTTGCACACATTCAACATGCCGTTCTGACTGTTCCTCAAACGTGTAAATCATGCCGCGTACCATTTTAGTGGCGTTTTTGCACAGGTACAGGTACGTACTATCTGATTTTGATCAAAGGCTGAATATGTGTATCTCCAAGACCACCAACTGCTTGCCCCAAGTTCTTAGGCATGGGTAGTCACTTAGAAGCACATCTTAGTCATTGTCCACTTTCATGAACGAATACAAGCTTACGTTGTTGTCACGATTATAAGCATTATCATCCTCTCCACTACCATGCGAACATAACTTATTTTAAAGGTGACTACTGGAGAGAAATGACTTAGTACTATATACCACGTACAATCCAAACTGTCCTTCACTACAAACACTCATTGAATCGGGGTGGAAACTGACAAGAACGTCACTGCCACAGGTCAACAGTCGTAACAACAAGGTTTCCAGCAAGAAAGGTGTAAAATTTACTTAATGGTGGCTTCTATGGATTTGCTGCGGGGATTAACGAGTATAACCTCGGATTTCTTCGTCTCTTTCATCTTCTCAGCCGTTTGGCTCCACCAGACTTCAAAGTCAGCAAGCAAACTAATTTTCAGTTAGCGCCTCATTATTCACCGGCGTGCAATCGGGTCAGACGAGAGCAGTACTTCTAGATGTAAACAACACTGCTTTTCTGTATGATGCTTGAGTGAGGCTGCTGCATAGGAAGCTTTGGGTGATGTTTCAAGGTTTCAGAATATATTCCAGTGAGAACTGACAGCGACGGTGAGATAGTTAAAAGCGAATGTAGAAAATGACCAAAGACCGATTCGTGCGAGTGATGTTTATTAACAAGGGTCCCATGGTTTATTTGCCTACGCCAAGGAAACCATTATGTTACAAGACGATTTCGGTTGGTCCAGAAATCTGTACCGCTGTCGGCGAGCTGTATAGCGGAAATTTACAGGTATCCATCCGTATCAGATTTAATACAATCTGACCACCCAAATGAATATCACTTATGCTAAATCCATCCTCTTGCACACAAGACTTAAACCTAAAAAGGTGTAACGGCTTGGATGAAAACGTCAGAATAATTATCGATTTACGTTAGACATTCTTCCACAATATTCAAAAATGTGTTGCCTACGTGGTCGGGCTTATCATGACATACTGCTTGGTGTCGGACGCTTGCAGCCATAAAGCAAGTCCCATTGATGACATCAAATGAATTCGGACAACAGTTTTATTCAAATGAAGTAATGAAAAGCAAGAAAATAAAGTTATGCGGACTATCAAGGTGTTGAGTCATGCCTGGCCGTTTAAAAAAAACAAGTGAAGCATATTTACGACGTTTATATATACTACTCTAACCTATGTTGTTCTTGTCCACTCTAATTCCATTATGTAGACTAAACTTCTTCTTATCCAGTATAACAAATAAAAAATATAACAATGGCATGTGTACGCTTACTTGTGCGCTTTTGATTCGAGAGGCCAACTGTTCCGCCGAAAAGCCACCAAAAACAACTGCGTGGACTGCACCAATTCTGGAGCACGCAAGCATTGCCACCATACATTCAACAACCATTGGCATGTAAATAACAACAGTGTCTCCTTTTCGTACATTGAACTTTCGACTCAGAACCCCAGAAAACAAGGAAACCTGAAACATTGGAACAAATACATATGGTTAAGTTATTGAAAGCGACCGGAGATCACGATCGTTTTTATTTGCCTCATTGGTTTTCCGAAAATTTCTGACCCTCCGGACGGGATAAAACTCGGTAAATCGGTTGAATATCAATCAACCAATTAATCAACCTGTGTTTCTTGGGAGGGATAAATGTCGACTGGGAATAGCCGGTATAATACAATGGATCGCGCATTGAACAGTAAAAGATATAAATAGTTAGACGAGAGTGGGAACAAGCCTTATGCCTAAAATTTGGGTCAAGATATTGAGTTACTATGTTAACAGACTGTATCCAATAAATTCCACCATACCGGTGGCCAATTTGGTTACTTTGCCATTAACTACCTGTGATTGAGCCTTTGTATCCGAATTCATCAAGACAAGGTTTTCCGTTGTATGTTAGGTTCAAGTAATCTACCTGAAATATGCGCCAAAATTTGTAAATTTGGCCGAGTGATAACCAGTTTCTAGCCTGAGACAACTAGATGTATGGAAAATCCAGCTAGATAAGAGAAGCTAGTGGATACAGGAGGCTTATACTTGCTCGTCGATACTCACTATAGGTTCACAAAGACTTAAGGGTCACACAGATTTTCTACTGAATTTATGACAAAGTTTGAGTGCAGCATTATCATTTTTGCTGAGAAGCGTGAGTTTCAGTAAACTAAAAGGAAAGCAGAGGGGGAGGCATACCTTTCTGGTGGCCCATACATCAATTAATGTATGTGGTGACTGACAATTACATAATGCTACCTTGCTTGCTTAGCTGCTCCTGATTTAAAATACAGAGGGTTCTATGCTCTTTTGCTTGGCCAGGAGCATAGGATAAATTAAGAATGGGGATGGTTTGGAAGGTGTGAAGAGCGATAGATATATTGGAGATGTGTAAAATGAACTCCTATATGACATAAAATCTTCAAGCAACTATGGTGCCAGCTGATTACAGAATGGGCCTTCAAAAAGGTTGTTAGGTAAGTGAGCCGGACACCACGCTACATGAACAAGCATACCTGTTGTTTTTAGGGGCACCGCAGTGATTTGCACAATCCCGCCGTAATGTGGCATTACAGCATACCGCATGAGATAAGTGCCGCGTAAACCTACAGAACGAGGTGTTTCAGATACGCAGTCAGTTTTTATCCGTTAATTAATTAGGAAGCACTTATGACCGTGCTAACAGGCTCATTTACACAACATATCGAGGTTTGTATGCAGCCAAAACAGGCCGCTTTACGACAACCATAAAGGAACACGGTCACAATACGAGAATCTGAAGGATCAATTATGGAGGTTGGAAAATCATTCTGGCCTGCAGACTTTTACTACAGCAGTGAGACAAGTCAGTATCATTGTACGCCAAAAAGAGAAGCTGTCATCGTAAACAGACAACACTTGCTGAGTTTCCAAAATGATGGCTATTTTCAATGAGCAACATCTGGAGTAACCTATCGACCAAGTTTTCTCTTCGTCGTTTCATTACTCAGTGGTTAATATCCCAAATCGTTTAACAGTAGACAGCATGGGGGTGCAAGAACTCTGAGGAACAGATGAATGCATCCGAAAATTGCTCACTATGTGCGTAGTTCAGTTCTGGTTTCAGTATATATA